TCTTACTCACTATGCCAAGTAATAATCCTGAAAATGATCATTGAGAACTAAAAAAAAACCAAAAGACAAGTCAAACCTCTTCCCTTTACCTCTTCCCTCTGGTCGGGGGCAGGGGGGAGCTTTTTTCAAAACTAGTTGTCATTTGGTATTTGAGAGAGATAAATATTAGTAAGTGTAAAGCAAATGAAAAGTTTTTCAGGGAGTGGGAAGGGATTACTTATTTCTTTCAACTTTCTGTTCCCATAAAAAATACTTCATCCTCATTTATCACTACTCCCCCTCTCCCTGCCCCAAATGCCATGATTACTAGTTTTTAATGATAACAATAGCTACTAAGCCCACATTAGTTTAGTTCATCATTTCACTTCAAACTACTCCCAAAATATTATCATGAACAATCCCAATCCCCAAATCAGTCTAAATATAAAGGAGATGCATATGACCTTAGCAATCAAAAGGAAGAGAGACAGTGAAGTGTGGCTGAAAGTATGCAAGCTACAATATCCAAGTTATAACCTGAAAAACATGATTATCAAGAGGAATTGGGACGCATTTATATCCTGTTGACATAACAGAAGATACTACTCATTTGTGGCCACAGGTGGTATATCTTTGTGGTCAACTTGCTGGTTTGCAGCAAATGAGCAACCTTTTGTAAATCCATACACATCTACTGTATGGTAAGTGATGCCTTAAGAAAAAAAAAAAAAAAAAAAGAAAGTACCCAGCAAGATCAAAAGTATTTTTGGTTCCTTCCTGCCCACAAAACACACACAAGACTTGATGAGTACCATGACTTTAAAACCACAAGAAAACCAGTGACAGGTATCTCAGATTTCTACAGAGCAGCAGGAAGATTTGATTCTTGTGGTTCCAAATCCTACGTTTGACTGCATACTTTTAAATCAGCGTAACAGAAGTCTCTGTGCTAATGTACTGCTGGAGGAGGAGGAAATCTGATACAAACTTAGAATTAGAAACTGAATTAAATCTTCAGTCTATTATGGAGGACCATTAGTGCAATATACAAGAGACTTCCCAAGGGATCTGAAGAGAAACAGTATTTATGCGAAGAAATTCAAATCATTTATTGCTTTCCAATTGTCAAAATTCCTATACTGTTAAGAATGAGGGATAAGGAACTAAATCCAGAGAGCAACTGTCCAAAGCCTGGCTAAATTCAACACAAACGTACACAACCTTAATACCATCAAAGGGTTCAAGATCATTTAAAAGGCAATTGCTTCTGTCTGCAATACTGTATCATGCCAACAAACCAAGATATTTTGGGTACATTTCACTTTTATCATGTCCTTTCATCTTTTGTTCTTTTGGTAACAAGGCCAAATAGGAGTAGGATTTCAAGAGAGACATACTGCTTTCTTTTTCACTTCCCATTTTCCATTTTAACACATCAGCTTGGAAATAGCCATCCCACACACATATACCTACAAAGCAAATCCTGTTCATTTCACAAAGCTCTGCGTAGCTTTCCTAGTCACCTTGATCTGGAATTTCATAGGCACACATTTTTGAAATGAACAAAAAGGTGTATAACTGTAATACAGGAATCATCTGTCACACTCACATCTCGTATTACTCCTACTGAAATTCCTGTGGGAAAACAGGAAATTCTTTCACAGTAAAACCGTGAAGACCAGTTCCTACATAAGGCTAGGAGCTTAACTTAACATGGAGTAGATCTGAAACAGGCACTCTGTATGAGACTTCTCTGCATCTTAAACATATCACCGTTATGCAGACTTTCAAATGCACCACATCTTGTATCTTAATCTTTTCTGAGATACAGAAAAGATTCTCTCTCTGCCTTCAGGATTGTAGCTAAAGGCTTCAGACTCTAAGGTTTTTGACTTCGCTCACTTTCTGGATGTGAAATCAGCATCTCCTCTTGGTGGTCTCTCCCACCTGAGGTGAAAACTAGTACTCAATAAATCTTTTTAATGCAAGAGCACAATATTGAACCGCTGTAACAAACCATAAGAGAAGTCTGTCCTGGTGTTTATAAATCCTACGCAAACTATGTTTACCTCAAGCAGCAAGACTAAGCTTACCTTTGTGTTGAGCACAGATCTCATTCTTAAGAGAAAAATCTAGCTGTCCCCTGTGTATGTGCTTCAGCCCCTCCTGATCTTTTGCCCAACCTATGCAGAGACAAATGCTCTGCCTGCAATTCGATTGTTGAGCATCATGGGATAACACCCTGTCTCCTAAATGTTTGCTTGAGAACAGAGTATCTGGATACATTTCATGTTCTTATGGTATACTCTCTAGCTTCAACTCTAGTGATTTCTCTGCAGATGCACAATAAACTTTTCAGTATCTATGCTAACACATCATATATATGTTGTATCTCAGGTAATTAAAAATATCTCATGCACACAAATTACACATAAAAGCCTATTAACTGGCATGTATGACTGAACATGAGGAAAATTATTCAAGCTAATTGTACTTGTGAATGGTCTGTGATCAAGTCTTCTACAAGACATGACCAGCATACAGTTCTGCATCTTCCAACAGTGTGCTGCCTACACATTTATCTGTTTTCAATTTCCTGTACTGATGTAGTTACCCACAATGCAATGCATGAGGATGGGAAGGTCAAATCCATCTATCCAATCAATTTTAGCAATTAAAAAATATTTTACATCAATGTATTGCTTGCAGAGGGCTATGTATATACAAAGGAGGGGGAAAAGGATGGGGGGGGGAGGGGAAAGAAGGAAGCAAATAATATGGAAACATCCTGGGCAGAAATTGAGATGTCTTCTTCAGCGAAGATTCAGTCTCTCTGATGTTACTCCTTCTAAAAGACGCTGCACAGTCTTATCCAACTATAAAACCTCTGATGACTCCCTACAGAGTGCTCTACCTGCCCCATGTCATCGGTGCCAAACAACTGTTCTCTTCCCACCGTCTATTTTCTCCTAGTTTTCTGCAGATTGGAGTCTGCTGTGGATTAGGAAATACTCCTGTACAAAAGTGATGCAGTGGAAAAAAGTCAAGCTCCCAGTATGTCTCTGCCCCTAAAACTCTCACCGATGTAGTCATTAGATGGTCAATGCTGAATTCAGATTATAAAAATCAATGGAAACTGAGCCTAGAGAACAGCTAATTAAGTATCCTAGCTCTACCCCTCTCTCATTTCATAATAGAAGAGTTGTAAAAACAAGAACTTTGGCATCCATTCAATACCTTCTCTCATGTTTTTACCCGCAACAGTGTCAGGTTTGCATGTGCACTGAGGTGTGCAGACACAGGTGTGACATTCTGAGTCCTTACAGGAAAACTGTATCCATCAAAAGCACAACATTCATTCAACAAAAGCACCAGGAAAGCATCCACACTGGAGTCAGAATCTGAAGGCAGTTACTGGAGGCTTTCATCTTCTGCATGCATGAGCAGAAGAAAAATCTAAGAAATAAAAGGGCAATTTGGAAACTGGTAAATTTATGACGGGAAATATGCAAATATGCACATCCTTTGCTCTTTGTTTATCCATAACCTTACAGCTTAGCGCAGACCTCCTGCAACACTCCAGACAGCATAGTAATTACTGAAGGCACATCATTTTGTTGTTCTTAAAATTCTACATTAGGATTCCAATTAGAAGCTTTACAACAAAAAAATTTTTTTAAGCAAATTTACAAATAATGAAGTAACTCATATCAACCAGTTGTGACTCAGTTCAATTCAGTGCATTAACAAGAACAACTTAAACAACTACTACAGCTTGCTTTCCATTAGAGCCACTAAAGCTAAATAGGGAAGGATAGACAGCTTCTTAACACATCAGTGAAGTGGCATTAGGTTCAAGCAAATGAGCTCTCCTTCCTCCCTTTCAAATGCTCTGGCACAGTTGCAAAAGGTTTTTTCGGTCTCATGTGACCGAATTACTCACCTTCCCCATCAGGGCTCATATTTTCGTAGGAATCCCAGCGTATTAGTGGGTCTGAGGTATTGTAATCAACTATCACTCCATGGTCATTCTGAAAGTGTTCACATCCTAAAAAATAAACATCTGTTTGAGACCAAAAATTATCATAGCCACATTTGTAATGATATACACACACATATACGTGTGGCCTTCTGACAGAAGTTTGCTCCCCAAACTGCAATACCATATTCTGAAATGTAAGAAGCAGCAATAGGGGAAGAAAGGTTATGTAAACCAGCTAAAAAAAAAAGCTTAATTTATGTTTCCTTACAGAAGGTACAAGCAGAGAATTTTATCTTGAGCTTCTTGATTATGATGTAGCTCTGATAACTTGTATCAGCCCCTATACACAAGCAACACCCGATGATCCACCCAGCCCTACAGGCAGGCATGATAAAACAGCTTTTCAGAATGAAACCACAAGTATCTATAAAGAGATGGTACTAAAGAAAGGATAAAATAAAACTTTGTTACAGATTATCATTCTGATACCAGAGCAATTTATCACTAAAGATGACTAGGGAAAGCTGAAAACTGCCACTCTGTGTCCCTCCCAGCTCCCCCAAGGTGCCAACTACGCTGTTTCAACCATTCTCCAGCCTCCTGGCAGAACCTGAGATTGGGTGGCTTGCCTTCAATGTGTTTAGCTGCGCTGAAGTACGCTCTGCCAAACATACCTGGAATTTTCAACAATAACCCACATTTCTGTGCCCTTAACGAGGCATAAGATAATATTCAGCTTTTAAATGTATACCATAAGGAATTTAGGTGTGGTCCAGTGATTCAAAAGCAAAGCACAGTCATCAAGAACTCACAACCTTGGACTTGGCTTTGACACTGATACAATCAAACCGGGTTTCTGCCTTTGCTCCTCTATCTAGATTAGGGAACAAAGAAATCCTCAGTTACCAACTCTTCGGCTGTGTCTGGAGAAGCAAGTCCTACTGTAAATTGTTCTAAAGCAGCAGAGCGTTATGCACATGCTGTGACTTTCAAAATGAGGATAGTTAAAATTAGAAGGACAAGAATGCTATGGTCCTGTACCTTTATAACCAGGCAGAAAAAAGCCATCTGTAGAGAGTTTCTGTGATGACGTTTGTCACAAGGCAGATTTATGAAGTTTGTTACCTAAATATTTAGGTGTCTCATCTTCTTGGCAAGTGCATTCTTTCTTAAAAACTGTATCACAGTCAGTTATTTTCTAGAATACTGTGTCCAGTTTCAAGCTACACAATAGAAGAAAGATTAATAAAGTGAAGCAAGTTCAGGGCAGGGTGACCAGAGTGGTCAGGACTGAAGAACTTGCCCTGTGAGGAAAGGCTGAGGGATCAGGGCTTCTTCAGTCTGTAGATGAGATCGTCTTGGGGGGGACCTGACAGCAGCCCCCCAAAGACCATGGAGGAGACAGAGCCAGGTGGGAGCAAGGCGCAAGGACAACAAGGAATAGGCATAAATTGAATCTAGAGAAGTTTAGAGTCAATATAAGGAAAAAATAAATCCACTGTGAGGACAGTCGGACATTGGAACAGTCCACCCATTGAGGTTGTGAAGTGTCCATCCTTGGAGGTTTTCAAGATTTGGCTGGTCAAAACTCTGGGCAACCTGGTCCGATCTCACAGATGACCCTGCTTCCGCAGGAGGATGGACTAGAGATACCCTGCAGTTATGTTATGATTCTATAATATTTTCAGATGTGGAAGAGTCATTTTGCAGAAATTGTAAATAAGTATTTCAAGGTGAACTCTTCTTCCTAGCCAGTTAATCCCTTAGATAACAATTGAATATGAATTTCCAATTACTTAGACCCTTACTTTCCAACAGCTTGGAGCCTGCTAAAAAACACATCTCTGATTTGCCATCTAAGGAAGGGAGGCTTGAAAAAATTTTGATCCTTTTTCAGACACATCAGCTGGCCTCTCTTCAAGCATTTACTATCCAGAAATGTTTAGAACAAGCTGGACAAATTTATTTATAAAACTGTTTTTCTTATATGGCTTTCCAACAGACTAAGTGAGATCTTCATATTCAGCTGGACAGAATCCAACTTCTTACTGGCTGCTACTACAAGTTTCTAAGTGATCAAATTGGTGGAAAAAAACAAAAGAAAAGGAAAATACGCAATTCACAGGACACTGAATGGGAATACGTATGAGACAGTTAAGAATATTTCTCAGGCATAATCCATTTTTTGGGACACCATAAAGTAAGTAAGAACACATCCATCAACAGAATTAAACTGCAATACAAAGCATGATCTTAAGTTCTTACTGCAGGTTGTAATTATCTATGACCTTAGACATATTACAATAGAATTCTGGAGGCGTATGAGATATACCCTGCAAGCCAACTTCAGAGCAGAAGCATTTCCAACAAAACTATAGCTGTATCTCTTTATGCTAAACTGAAGACAGTCCAAACTTCGCCACTGCAAACATAATCAGTTATGACAACATCCAAAAAAGGTTATGGGATAGGCCACTGCTGTCACTTATGCCAGGCCACGCTACCTATACTATGCATGTTTTACACAGAACAACATATTATACAAATGTTTTCTACTCGTCATCAGCAACTGTTCTGCTATAGTTTTAAAACAAAATCTGATAATTCCTATGCTGATGTAAATGCATAGTCTTCATTAAATTTTTCAAATGTAAACCAGTAACTAACAGTAAAGTTGAATTTCAGATCTTCTACATGAGAAGTGGAATAAAAGAGGAAAAAGGGTTTGTTTTTAAAAATATACATTTCAACATGGTTTATTTTCAGACTCAGTGTATTTTTTCTTTTGTATACTCACCTTGAATTTTCTCTGGAGTTCCTGAAAACACTAATTCCACTTTGCCGTCATCAGGGAAACGGTCATCTGAAAAAAAAAACAAAGAAGATAGTGTTTCAGCTAGCTATCTCCCAGGAAAGCAGTTCCAAGGCACTCAGAAATCAGGATTCTCTATAGCTATTAACACATGTACCCTCGTCACTCTTCCCTTCTCACTTGCATTTTAGCGATTTCCTTGTAAAAGAGCCATATTCTTTGCCCCACACATTCTCCAGAAAAGATCACGTAAGTGTCAGTCGGAGTTTTGTTTACTTCCAAGAACTGTCAAAAGCAGAAAAGATATGCACTTTCCAAACCTCTCTCTAAACAGACATGGCTGGCTTTGGCTTTTAAAGGAAAACACACCCAGGAGCAAACTAAAATTGTTCTCTATATTGGCTAAACTACAATACTTCACCACAAAACTTTTGTTTGATTTTAGTTTGCTAGTAACGTAGGGTGAGGGAGTTACCCTCCTGTTTATATGCAGTTACCTGCATATAAACATAAAAATAAAACTGAAGTAATAATTTGGAAAATACAAAGACTAGCACAACACATTTTCAAATGTCTGAAAACTCTGCCTCCATTTTTGGATATTCTGAAGCATATTAAAAGATCTCCGTACTCACAGACTAGGTCACAAACACAGTATCATACTTAGTGACTGTTTTCATCAGCCAAAAAAGGGATTGTATTTCCTGTAATGGTGACTAACAAAGTCACCATTTCAAACAAATGTCTGTTATTTTTACAAATGTGAGAGGAAGCGATAAGGACTATGTAGGAGTATCTGAATTATTTTGACAAGTTAACTCACTTGAAGAGCTTTTCTTCTCATTAGGAGTTTACCTGTGTTACATGGTATGAGTTAACTAACACAAAGCAGTCTCCCTTTCCCTAAAAACAGGGATGGAAAAAAACCAAGAATCCTTTTTGAAAACAGGTCCTGAAGATGATCATCGCATGCACAGGCACACACATGCACCCCCGCACACGTATGCATCCAACCAACCATAGAAGGCAAGTACCTTTGTTGGCATTGTCCAAATCCTCTTTGCCAAACACCAGGCCATGTCCTTGAATAGCTCCAGTGTGAAACTGAAGGCGAAAAACCACATCACGGGTAGCTGACCGGTATTTTTTGTGATAACACTTCAGCTAGAGAGAGAGAGAAACATGTCAGGAAGTAATTTCTTAAAAATCTGAACAAATGTGTGTATATGCATTAGCTGCTAAGTAAAGCAGCCACAGTGCAATTTACTGCAGACACCTCTGATGTTGTAACAAGCAGGGTATGCGTTATTCAATCCTTTAAAATTATACAGGCCCAAGGCAAGATAGTTCTGGATGTGTAAAAATAATAATTACTATTTTCATCACGATCAGTCACCAATCAGTAGATTATGATTACAATGTTGGAACGCTGACTTGTATCCATACTTCTTCACGGTACCAAATTAATGTAAAACTGTATTATAGTACTCCCATTTCAAAATAACTGAAGAATATGCAGAGTTTTTAGAAGCAAGCCTGCAAGCTGATTACATCTATTTTAAGACTTTTTAAAAACCTATTCTAGTGATGATAGGATCTTGTTTTATGTCATTGTGGGAAGTTGGTAGTAGTTTTGACACCTTGGCTAGAACAACACAGAATTCTGTAGAAGTAGCATCTAGTATGAATTTCAGCAGCTAAAGGTGAACACAATACACCTACTCTCTAACACCACCTTCCCTTAGACTAGACCCATGGATATTTTACCTACTAATTCTCTGAGTCAACTGTAATACAAAGCCACTCAGCATTCTTACAGGAATATATAAAAATTTTGGTAACCTTAGTCACAGGACTGAAAATTTTATGATATTATCACCTTTTTTTAAGGCAGACTGATAAAAGTGTTCTAGTCAGAAAATACTGAATAACTGAAGAGCAAACAGTTACTCAAACTGAAGTAATCCAAGGAAAATGTAGAGGTTTAAGAGGGATACTTCTGAAAGTTGGGATTAAAACATAGTTGTTAAATTCTTCTCACTACAGGATTTGAAAAATCTAACATAAACTGTTGCTCCCTACCGTTCACTATAGTGACCCCACGATGCCTTAAATTCCAGAAGTTAATCAGTGCTGACCATATACATGGCACATAGGACAACTTCTGAAATATTTCCGCACATATACCAGAGATGGTTTTTTTTCAGGTATTCTCTACACAAACCACATATTCCTAACCCTTTATAAAGGCTGGGAGATTCTTTACGCAAGTAAGCATTATTTTATCTGAAAGTGAGGATTTGGCATTGTTTCTTTTGTTTTTTTTTAAAGAGAATCCCCTACAGCATAGTGGTAATACCAGGTAAAACAGTATTTGCTTCTTATTTTAAACAATGCTTTACACCCACGAAAACTAACATAGTGTACAAACCCCCACCTGTTGAAGGGATCTATTTCATTTTAGTCCAACACAACTACCAGCATCATTTCACTAGAACCATGGCCATAAGTTAGTCCCTTAAACTACCAAAATATAAGGTAGGAGAAACAATGAGACTGCTTGATTCAAGAATAAATTCTCCTCTCTCATTCTCCACCATCATAAAAGATGAAAACTGCAAGTTTGCCCAGACGTGAAAAATGGACAGAAAGGGAATTAAGAGAGCCCCTGATGAGACATATTAGAACTAACCTGCTCCAAAATGTGTAACTGGCCTGAAAGTAACTGTGATAATTCTATTTAATTATATTATGTGAGCAAAAAGAAGCTTGAACAGACTTAAGAGCTTCTTTAGGGTTATATACATTCCTCCACAATTTCACGTTAAAACATAAACTTCTTTAGCTGTTTAAACAATTACGTTACTTTTACATGTGGATCACACACGAGAGTTTCTGAAGATGCAGAAGACTAAACACCTGAACAATACATTTTATCCTCCAATTTGTCAAGAGTTTTGGCTTTGCACAGTTGCTGGATTTACTCAGAATCTACTGTCTTTTGCATAATTGTGTTTATACAAACGCTGAATCTGGGTCAGTTCAGACAACTATATGGTTCCTGCTTCTTTCTACTTTCTAATTCAAAGTAACAGCCTTGAATAATTTTAACTTAGCATATCCTAAACAACTTACTTACATAGAATTGTAATTATTTATGAAAATGTGGCCTCTCTTACATTCAGTAACAGTGTACATCTATACCCAGGATACCAAAAACATCTTTCAGTGCTCAGTATACATAATAAGATTTCAATGAAGTCGAAGCTTAACTTTGAATTGTGACTCCACTATCTTCTGATGCCATATTCAGGAATTAATGCAAGCCACTGTAATATGCTAGGAAATACCTATATGCATTTACAGATGTCAGTGCAGCTTTTCAACAGTTGTGGCTGTGCTGTATCACCACATACTATTCACATTGTGTTAACAAATTCTCTAAACCTAAGACAAGCAAGGCTTTTTTTTTTTAAACCCGTGCACTTCAAGTGGTTAAACTTTTTGGACCTGGAGGTGGAGCATCCTATAGATTTTTCTTTTTCCTGAAGCCACTGATCTTTTTGCTTAGATATAGTAAAAAAAATTCAAAACTGAAGTGAAGTCTTTGTTTAGGATATACTACCATGCTGAATAAGACACTGGCTTGCTCAGAAGAATTACCTCCAATAATAGCATGGGATTAGTGAAGTTGATCTCTTTTAAAACGATGCAAGCATTACTAAAAAGCTATGCTGCTCATTTTTCATTTTAAACACACATTTGAGAGACACTGAATTCGTCTTAGACTGATTTCTTTTGTGATCTATTCCATTTCCGTAGGCACCAACGGTCCTCCGACGAGTAACAAATCTTCCTGAATTTGAAACTGTCCCGAACCTCTAGAGTATACCAATTTATAACAGTATATTTAAAAAGTGTTTCTCCATTTTTCAGTGAAAGAAAGAAAGAATAACATTCTAAACTGAATGGAGAGGGGAAGTAGGAAAGGGAGAAGGAGGAAGGATAATACAAAAGATTATTTCAAAAGAAAAAAAAAAGAAGGAAAAAAAAAAAAGAATCTGATACCAAGGACCCCTTAAATTGAGGTCCAACATTTCTCAAAGTAGTACATAAAATAAAAAGACCATTCTGAAACCTACTAGAAATAGACCAGGAATACTTTCTGACAATATTTCCCCACACCATTCATTCCACATGTTCTTCTGTCCTCTTAGTTTAACAGGTTGAAAGACACTGCAACTATCTATCTTTACTTTCTCTGTGCATAACTGTGTATGACAAGCAAGAAAGAAAGCAGAGAGATTTAAAGTGATAGTGCTGCAATTCAACCATAGTTACGCATTGCACACAAGGAATTACACGCACTATATTAGCGCATATAAATTGCTTTCTAAATACTGCATGTGCTTGTAGAATCAGAAAGCTTTTATTTGGTGTCAGACCTTTTTGCATCCCAAAACAATTTAGAATTAGTTAGGTATTTTCTTTACAACATGTAGTTTTACGATTGTGCATGCTGCCTGCCAAGTTACAGGACAAGGGTATTTTAATGCTGAGTTACAAATACTCTCCAAAGCAATTTTTATAAAGAAAATAGCGATACAGACATTACTGCACTTGGTGATGCTATGAAATGGGAATGCTGAAAGCAACTGTTTCAGCTCCTAAAAACCTTCTAGTTTGAGTTTTATAGGCATTTTGATTCCTGTAAAACTCAAGGATGATGACTAAATTAACTTAATAACCTATTTTGTAGTATGTCTGCAACCATTTGCTCAATTTATTTTTTTTACAAGAACGCAAAACAGGTCAGAGACTGTAAACTAAATGGCACAGTGCTAGATTTTCATTCCATACAATTAACTTACCATAATATCTCCCTTCAAAAGCTGGGCAGGGTCTATAGCAATGCAGATTCGGCTTTGATTTTCTGGCCCTATGCTACTTAACAGGAGAGAAAAGAAAAATAAAATTTATGTTTTAAAGAAACAAAAAACAAAAACAAAAAGAAAAAAGAAAAAAGACTTATGTAAATTCTGCAATTATGAGAATTAAAATCTGGATTCAAACATAAAGGAAAATGCTTACGACTTACTATATTCCAGATGTATAAACTGGTTGCATAGCCTGGTATAACTTCAGAAAAGGCCGACAAGCTGAAAAGAAGTCAACGGAAAAGACTGCTTTGTAATTATTTTCCTTTATCTGAATATTACAACTAGGAAGCTTCATGCACATCCAGACTGAGCAAAGTGGCACACAAGTGGCACAATGTTGACTGTCAAAATATCCTTCAAAGCAAAATTGGCTTTGGCAGATTCGTTTTCCCCCAAAAAAGTATTTGATTATATTTTATGAAAAAGTCACTTTTCCCCGATTTTCAGACTAGTTCCGAATTGGGGAGGAGGGGATTTTAAAGGATTCCAGTAAGGAAAGAAAGAGGGAACACTGCTCCTTATTAAATATCTGTCTGCCTTCCTTCCCACTTTTTCTGCAGGAAAACGAAATTATTAAGGGAAGAGAGAGAATGGCCAAAACAAAACAAAACAAAACCCAACCCAAATCCCAAAACAAAATAAAAAGCATTTTCAAAATCAAACAAAAAATTTGATCTGCAGTTTTGTTTCAAAACTAGTAAGTCCCTTAAATGTCTTACTACAACAAACAATACCTTGTCTTTATTGAAATAGTTATTTTAGAAATAAAACCAGACTAAACAGACTAAACAACAATGACAATGGAGCATTGCAAATTCATGCTGATGACATTTCAAAAGACAGGTGCTATTTAACTCTCGAATGATAAAAGTACAGAGTTATACTCTAGCACAGTATCTTGGTTTAGTATTCTAATGTTAAAGCCACTTATTATAGCTGGCCACCTTAGAAGCACACCATATCCAAATGCCTTTTCTACAGAAAATCCTATCTCAAAACAGAAAAGAGATTATGTTTATGATTATGTTTATTTCCTAAACAGAGAGGAAATGACTGTGCAACCTGACCAGATTCTCAGCTCTTTTGCAGGGACTGGGATCACAATTCCTCAGAAACTAGGCAGATATGAATACCATTAACTCTTCATTTAACAAAGGACAAGAATTTTATTTCACCTGCTGTAATTTTTACTCTTAGGATGTTTCTCTTCTTCTGGTTCTTTTATTGGGAATATTTGGACCGATATCAAGGAGCATCAACGCTACTTTGAGATTCATGCAGGCTTTCTAAAAATCTCCAAAATGAAACAACACTTTGAGCCTACACTTGGATAGGAAAAGTTAGATAATTTACCTCCCCCAGCATCGAAGCTTGGGATGCCATGAAGGATAACATAGTGCAGGAAAAGAGGGGTTGCATTCATTTTCACAGATCCAGATAGAAGGCCACTTAAGAACTGCACGTATCTAAAAATACAAAATTTATCTGAATTAAATAAAAACAGTAATGCAACCATATCAGGGAAATACATTCTTTACAAATTTACGTTTCTAGGCCATGGGTAGTGAATAGCATTGTGACATTACACATAACTCCAAAAGAATAATCTTCACAACACAGCATGAAAAGACACTTTAATTTACCACTTTATTAAATCCATGGCTGTTACATTGCTATTGTTGTCTTTAGTTATTCACATCACTACTCTAAATAAGAAAGGAACTAGCAGAGATAGTAAAGTCAATCATTTCTAGTTGCAACTAGGTCTCAATTGGCTTTCACAGCAGCATGACATAGGTCCCACTCCATTTACAGTGAAGCGACCTTCATTAAAACAAGAGCAAGATATGCCCTTGTCAGAAACCTTAGCATTAAGGCCAATGCAGGCAAATAACATCTTCATAATGATAGGTGATCTCATTCAGCACCAAACAGAGGAAAACTTCCATAGCAACACAAAAATCATTGTATTTCTGCTATTTAATACCTGGTTTGCTCACAAGCTCACGAGCAAGTACATGCAAGTGAACATCACTGCAGTGTGTCTTAAACAAATTCCTCCTATCTCCTTAAATAACTAAGAGAAATCAGCCTCCTTAAATTTTTCTACTGGCTTTGAGTCCCTTTTTCTTCCATGCCCATGACACGACCTTCATTTAACTTCACTCTCAGGAATGTGCAGAAAAAAATCACCTCTTTTTTGCTCTTTATGCGCAGATCTCATTAACCAATCCTTACTGTACACTCATGGTAACACCACAACTAAAGATATCCTGCCCAACAACGAAACCTTTACTACCCCAGAATGGCAGTTGTGGTGGTTTAAAATAGGTTTCATTTTATAGACAGCTAGCAAAGCTCACTTTATTTTGAAATGTTAAGAAAGGACAACCTTGCTTTTCGGTTTCCTTCTTCAGTCTTTCTGAAAATATTTGATACATCAAAAGCACAAATCTACAAATTGTCACACCTAAGTGACAAAAAACAGTGTGGTAAAACATTTTGTCAGTGACCTCTCAGCCTGAACATTTTCTCTCTACCACTACCTGTTTTTAATTATTCAAAAAATTTGACTGAATTTTTGAACACCTTTCTCAAGGCAGTGCATTTAAGAGGCTTATAGGCAGTTGGCTTATTTTTGAGAAGCGTGTTCAAAGATTTATCCTGAAGGTTTATGAGAAATTTTTAAATATGAAGGGTCTATATCTGCGCTTCTTATTCAGGCAAACCTTCAACTGCTTATCTGAGAATAAGTATCCATTTTAAGTATTGTCAGAATGGATTCAGAATAGGAGATTTGGTCTATAGTTGCTTTTCTTGCCACTGTTACAGCATCCAACTAGCAGTGGGGAAAAGCTAAGTGATATTTTCAGGACTGATGCACTTAATGGCCACAATTTATTTTTTTCTGGACAAAACTTAGTGAAGAAAAAGTTTCAAAATACAAATAATAGGTCTATTTTCAAATTTCATCATTTTGATATTCACCTAAACTACACCTGTTTATACATCAACTGGATTTTAACAAGGACATTGCTAATTAATTATCCAAGAATGGTTTCAGAGAAAAAAGCACATTGAAAAGGTGATTCAGGCCACTAACTGATCAAAATGGGATCAAAAAAGGATTATAAAATTACCCACAAATATTAGAGTTGGTTTTCCTTTCTCTGCAATAGGATTAGTAGCCATGGCCAGGCCAGGTGAAGGCAGGAAAGGCCAGGTTAAGGAGGAGAACGGTTCTGACAAACCGTTCTGACAAACCTCTTCTGTTCTCATGGGGAGTGACACTCTAAAGCACCGTTGTGCGCATGTGTCTGGAAGACGGTAAGGGCAGTTCAAGCTCTGTACTGCTGAGCAAAGATGCTAATTCCATCAGTCAAGAGGTGAACTGAGTCTCTCTGAGACTTCCTCCCCCACCGCCCCCCAGTAGAATTAAGCAAGGGTCCTTGAAGAGGGTAGGAAAGCTAGATACCAGCATTTACACCTATTTCATCTCTAGCTTTAGGGCTCGCATACAGATCACCTGAGTTAGTAGCTACTGAAGCTTCCTGTCAACATGGTTGTAAAAACTGCCCTGATGCACCATTCAGAGGCTGCTGTGAGGGTCCCTGGCTTTCATGGAAATACACCTGCTGCATAAGGCTTCTTGATGGGAAGATTAAGAACATCTATTTCCTTTTGCTCCTACCATTCACACTTCTTTATATGGTAGGCACCACTCTCAAATACTTATTATTAAAATGCAATACACACATATGCAGGCATAAAACTGAAAAGAAAAAAAAAAAAGCCAATAAATTTCTAGTTATGAAAAGTTTATTTCAAGTCCAATGGAATGCTGTGTTACTATTTTTCAAGTGAAAAAGAGCTGGCCAGGTCACCAAATGGGTTCAAGAAGTAACAGAAATTGTTTTCGTATTTAGAGATTAACAGAACTAAATGCCTTATGCTCGTTGTTACTACTTATTTTTCTAGTTTAAGTACTAGCAAAGCCTTATCCTTTAACAACTTCTAAAAAACCTGCTGTATAGACGCTGATTAAAACCAAAACCAAACAGTAATTACTAACTCAAATCCAGTTGATATTTAATGTTTCTAAAAGAAGATTCACCTATATCACAATTACTTGTCTGATGGCTATCAATCTTTTGGTACTGAATCTTCATTACCTCTCGTCAAAATGAGGTAAATAGCGAACCTCAGAACTATTCACTTTCCAAACTGCTTAACTTTGAGTCCTAACTCAACCTTATTCATGCACACAGAATGAAAAGACATTCAGATAGACAGAATGAATAATGCATGCTTTGACAAACATTTACTAGCATGGACATGGGGCAGATGCATAATCTGCAGCTCCTCCAAACAAGTGGTAATAAGATCTTTATTGCACACTAATCAACACACATTCCATACACATCATTTATGCCACATAAAAATGAGTTTATTATTATCTTGGAGCAATCATGAAATAGATTGTGACATCTCTTTTTGTTAAAAAACAAAGCAGTAAAAACACATATAGATAACGGTGTGGTACAAAAAGTCTTATCTATCTTGGGCTACGTGCAGGAACTGAAGGAGAGATCTCATCAGTCAAGGAATATTAATATAAGACAAAGTGCTGAGAGTTCAGGAATCACTGGAGGATCTTGTGGAAACAGCCTTCACATAGCAGGGGAGGGAGTAAGGGATGAGGGCAGAAGAGAACAATGACATTTCTTATTGGTATGAATTAGAAACAAATTAAATACCTTCTTTGGGATGGCTGCATTAAAGCTGAAACTTTATCATCAAAGAATTTCTTCATAGCAAATCTGTCCAGAGCCTGATCAGCACTGTCAAAACAGAGACACAAATACCACGTTATTCCAGTTTGGGGTTATCTTGGAAATTCAGCAGGTTACTGCTTGAAATATACTAAAATATTTGGAAGGAAAAAGAAGGAAAGGAAGGAAAAAGAAAAGAAAGAGGCACCTAACTAGCAACTCTGGCACTTACAGGTCAGACAAGAATGTTTTTTCCACTGACACCTTCTCATTCCACACCTTAAGGCACTTTCCTTCCTGAGGCAAAGCACCTACTCCCTTATTCAATTAACCAGATTGCATATTTCCAACATGAATATATTAAAGTCATAATGCAATAAACTTTAGCAAAGCCAAGCAGCTCAGGCTGCAAAAGAAGGATATTTGCCATAATTTCCTGAGAGTGCCACTGGGGAGTTCTCTCTGCAAAATACAAATTTATTCTCTTTTTAAAAAAGAAGCTGCAACATTATGGAGATGAAAACCACTGCCTAGCTCTGACTGTAGTACAGTACATAAGGGGCAAAGGATGCCAGGCTAGAGGATCATTTAAGCAGTCAAATAATTCATTCAGTCTTTGTTTCCTGTGCCCTGAGCCACAAAGGGGGAGAATGTTTAAAATAAATAAAAGTATCAATCTTTGAAAAAGAAATGTTTTGCATCAGACAACCACAAACTTTTCAAACATGCAATTAAGGAGCAACATATTCAGAAAAATATACTTTTTTCCATTCTCTATCCAGAATGGCTCTGATGTGGGTCTTATGCATCTGTGCAGAACGCAGCAAGAGAGTACAGAAAAAAGAGACAGAAGTGCCAAAAATCAGTAAGAATGCTGTTAATCACATATGCCAAATAACATGCTATGCTGATTCTGTTGTATCTATACCAGATAAAACCAATGTGTCTCTTAACAGATGTAGTTGACAGTGTTAATTAACATCAGGACATAAAAAAAAGCAGAAGTTTAAAAATAATTAGACTCTGGAACCTCAAATTTTAAATTCCACATCTAGTTCAACCTAAATGAGTTCCAGGGAAAAAAATGGTGCAAAGTATACAATATGCATATCAGGCTAAAAATGGAATTTATACCTTTTCCAAAAATTAATCAGAAGTTACTGATTGTCTTGATCAGATTGTGCTGGATCAGGCTGTGAAGTCATGCCTTTTCTTCATGGATGTTAAAGATTACATAATGTGTGCTTAGAATATCCTTGACCCAAAAACTCTCTTCTTCACCCAACCCATCACGCATCTTCATACATCTTCACCCACACTACCACCCAGAATCTAGGCAACCCACTCGTAACTGGCCAAAGACTGCTAGTACTTTACTTGTTAAAACAGAGCTTACCAACTATTACAAAGAGCTCTGTCTGCCCTCGTTAAATTCGACAGCACATTATTCCTTCCTAAATGACAAAATCAGATATTCATAACATATTACCAAAAGGGGTTTGCATCATAAAGCTTTTTCACTAAGCCTAGATTTTTTGGCATGTGCATGCAGACAATTAGGAACTTTATTTAGTGTGAACATCCTCAAAGTCTTCCGAGTACCCTTTCTGACACAGCAGCTGGCACCCTCAACAGCAGCACGTGCAGTAATTTCTGTTTCTGTGAGGTTGCTGTGTACCATTTTGAAGAGTCTTGATAATCCTAGGGATATACAAATCCTAGCTGGGAAAATTCCCCAACCTCATTCTTACACAGAAAAGTTGAGTTTTGGATAGAAACTGACAGATATCCAGAAATTTCAAGGAGGGCTTCCAAACTCACTCCTCCCCTGCAACTTCACTGGAGGAATCCTGAATTTGGTTGGGGTAAAAGATGACACCTTTCATTGCTGGGCTTTACAATCACATCCACATGTTGTTCTGTTATGGCATTACTAAAATGTATTTATAGCCAGGTACCACCTTTAAGGATGATACAATACTGCAACACAGAAATCACAACACAGTACTGTACTATCCTCACTAGACAGATTTTGTCACTCACAATGCTTCTCCACAAAATATTATAAAATCGTGGCAATCACTGTCCCAATTACTACTTGAAGATATATGAATTTATTTTTTCAGCCTATATTGGTGTGTATAATGCATTAATTTCTTAGTCTACAATTACCTGTCGACCAGGCTTACCAGAGTGAACACAGATTATTTTCTGAGATGCTGGTTTTACTGAAATCCATGAGTGATTTGCCATCAGCCTATAGTGATTCAGGACATCATCCACCACAGTACTGGATCAAATCTATTACTGACAGACTGGTGTGAATTCAGAACTAAATTTGATTTAACCATGGCCTTTACAGTGCATTTTTATTTTAATGCATTTATACATGTATATATAAGAGACCAAGGGGAAACAATTTGATTAAAAACCAAACAAAAACTCAAAACAAAACACATTTCATCCTTTTGAGACCATTTATCAAATTTTATCTTTATTCACATAAATTGTCAATTGACATTTCGTAATTTGAGCACGCTAAAAGACACAATTAAAACCAAGTAATCAGACACCTGTTGTTTGCACTGACTGCAAGATAAAGTCTAGATTATTTCTTAAACTGCATTCTGCACTTTGATCAATGTCTAGGAATTCCCTATTCAAATATTGATTCCAGATTCTAATAACTGTTTTCCTTAAGTACTTCAGGAATAGTTTCTCATTGATTCAAAAGAGGCAACTTGATGGATGTGGCAAATTGATGGATTTAATAGAATAAAGATGGTATCATTATATAAACATGGGTTCTTGCACATTTCTTCATCCATCTTGAAAGACCCTTTAGAGAATTTTCCCACAGAATCACTGAATATCTCAGATTAGAAAGGACCTTGTCACCTAGTCCAACCTCCTGCTAAAACAAGAAAACTCTGTCATGAAAGCAGGCTGTTTTAAGACATGCTCCAAGACTCTCTGAGAAGAAAACCTGACAAACCTCAACTGATAACAGTAAGCTGACAAACAGTATACAATTAAAAGGCATTTTTTTCTGGTGTTTCCTTAATTGTAGAAAACACGTAATATGCATTATTCGCAACTTACCTCGCAGAAACATTGGTGAAGTGCATATATGATGATATGACTACGCCTATCCTTCCTTTTCCTCCCTGTATTAGGAAAAAGGGAATGATAACTTATTCAATTTATTACATTATTGGGCATTATTTTATTTAAGACCCATACTAAACAAAACTTTATGATAGGAGACTCGGAGAGTCCTTTTGCTCATGCATCTCCTGTGTTGTTGGAAAGGTGGTAACGATGGGCAGCAGCTTGTCAGCCAGCTTGCATAGACAGACAAGTGACATGAAAAACACTAAGTAGGATTTCCATGTGTGTGCCTGTCAAGTCTTAGTGACTGAGAGGAAATTATTAAAAAAAAAAAAATTCTGGACCAGTAGTAGAAACATTGTATCAACTAGTCTAATTTTATATTACTTTTTCCAGAGATCATTCAAGACAAGTCTAGACAATGTTGCAATTTCTGGCATGAAATGCTATAAAATACCTATTTTGGAAAGCATATGAGTTTCCAACAGGTTTGGACATTTTTACCTCCCCAGCATCTGAGATTTATAACAAGTACTACTACTTTTTCTATGGATAATTTAAAAATGTTCCAAAATCTTATTAAATAATTTACATGACATAAATTCAGTACAATTTACAAAGTGGTAATTCTCACAGATTTCAAAACAATTTCAGTCTCTCAGCTGATTCAAGTAGCTGTATCTATCTTCGTGGTTGGAAACTCTAAAGTCATTACCAAAAGGCATTAATCAAAAATATGCATTACCAATTTGTATATAAAATACCTAGGAATACTTTGCCCACTTTTCTTTTGTCCCATGTATGGGCCATTCTCCTGGCTGCAGCCCTGCAACTAGTAAGAATTCAGTAGTGTTTTATACAATCACGGCATTCTGCCTGCAAGCAATTCAGGACTGGGCACTATACAACCTGAAGAGAAGTTTTGGTCCCATGATCACCCTCATTCTGTTTAGAGTAACATCTGCCAGTGATACAGAGACATATTTGCCTCAAGTGCCACGAGCACAGCTACCAACTCAGTTCTGAATTCATTTTATCTGTATTTAATTAAGGCTTCTCTATTTCTCTTCATTGTGAGCAGGCAAGGAGAAATAGTAACACTGCACGATGGTAGCTTTGCTGTAAGGCACTGCAATGATGCTGGCAGTTAGAACCTGTCAGAAGTACCCAGGAGGTAGTTAATGTCCTCATTTCCTACAACCATATGACAGTCTAAAGGGATGAGCTGTGATATCTTGCCTATCCTTATCCCGCAACAAAATCCATGAATGTCATAGAACATGAAGAGCTTCTAAAGCATTTGCTATTGAGTTGGGAAACGCTCAAGCTTCTAAATATGCTTACAGAAGTAGCACTGACCTTTGACGGAAGCAAACTAACATCATTGTATGTTATAGCAGTGCAGAGGCTAGAACCTTAGTTATCATAAAAAGCAATATAAAAGAAGCATGCAAGGTCAGTGGATTTAAGCTGAAGATTTGGCACACTGTTTCCAACATTGAAAACAGATCAAACTTCTTTTTTTATTTTTTAAAATGAGTACGAATAAAGGACGAGGCTTTTGAAAATGAATACAAACTGATAGCCGATGTGTATACACAAAGCTCACTTACTCTGCAATGGATCACCACCACATGTTGAGGATCATTGTTCAGCCATGACTCCATAGCCTTGCAGATGGTGCACACCTTATCAAGAGGCGGAGCATGGAGATCAGGCCACCCCACATCCATAATCTGCAATTAAACAAGTAACATTCACAAGAGGCACCTTGACTTTAATACTACACATTAAAATCTGGCTTCAAATAATTGTGATGGTGAAGAGTCTCCACATTTTTTCCAATCCCGGATAATCACGTCATTTGAATTCCATGATGTAAATAAAATATGCTTACATGTCTCTTAAGGGGAAGAAAGGGAATTGTTTGTTTTCTTTTAGATACTACTACTTTTATAAAAACAATCAAACAAAAAACTCCCCCCAAAACCCACCAACCACTCACAAGTGACAATATTTCTGAAGATCTTAATTTCTTAAAGAATTTTCAATTAGAAGTTCAGGTATTTTATAACAGTAAAATATTTAGAAGGTCAAAATTAGAACAAAGAAGTTAACTGGCCTGGTCCAGTATTTTGTGGTTGTTTTTATTTAATTTGCAATTTATTCCCTTCATGTGCAACAGATTTGACATCTCAAAATTTCGTTCACATTTTTTATTCAATTTTAGTCATTATATAATACTATTTACTCAACCTATTATTATTATATGCATATTTAACCCTAACAAAACCAGTAACCATGAACAACTTAAAACCTTCATGATCAATAAAGCATTCAAAAGGTCAAAATTAAGAGTTCTTTTAAGATTTTCCTCAGGTAGCGTATATCGCTGTAAATCTACTGCTATATATACATCTGTGCTATTCTGGCCTTACAATAGCTGCTGAAGAGTACCCGCATATCATTTTTTATATGAAACAAATACAACAATTGCTGAGGAGGAACAACAGACAGACATCAATAGCTCCCTTTCTTACATCTCTGTTGTGCAGAGAAGCAACTATGAAAAGATAGGACTAAATGGAAGTCTGTATCTGAACCGAGTTCAGTAGCTTCAGCTATCAGACTGTACATTACAGTCTATAACTCCTAATATCCTCTGACTGCACAAAGAAAGTATACTTGGCGTAAAAGTTATATCACTCAATAGGAATTTTTCAGTAGTCACAACGGGCTTCAGGTCCTGTGTGCAAAGTCTAAGAAAACAACAGGAACGGCTATGTAAAGCACAGACCTAACAGACACAAAACAGAACTTGGGGAAAAAATAAAAAGGGATGCGTGTGGGGGTTTTTATCATCTTCCAAAAGTTGTTCTCTTACTCTGTGTATCAACACTTGCATAGCTTCAGGGCTTATCAGGCCATTTAAGTTGTATTTAACACTAGAAAGAGAGGTATGTTATGGAAGACAACCAATACCTTTGGGTTAAGCTTGGCAAGGTCGTATCTCTTTTCAGAGAGGTTTAACACCTGTTCAGAAAGAAAAAAATATCAACCACTAAGACTTCATAATTTATGTAGTAAATAACTCTATTTGAAACACGTGATAATTACAAGAAACTACAGTGGTAAGGCTTCAGGTTTGCCTACTGTTTTACTAAACTAAATTAACATTTAAAGTCAGATAGCACTAGCAAATGTATTTTAGGTATTCAGTTACTATACAATGAAACTAAAAATGAAACTAAATGCACATTTTTAAAAAGGACAATTAAAATTCTGCTACATTTTATTTATTTCACGTGGCTTTATTTTAGTCAGCGGTATACTGAGAGACCTGGGCACCATACAAAATAACTGCACAGCAAAAGAATTAACAAAGAAAAGTCTGGGAGGGTGGTACAGTCTTAAATATTTGAATATGAGTGCCTGGCAAGAAAATATTGGTCTGTCAAAACTTCACAGGGAAGATATGGCATAGCTATTTAACTATAGCTTAGCCTGTGAGATCTTCCAACTCTTCTGTTAACCCATTAGACAGTAAGTTATCATACACTTAGTGCTTAATAAGGAACTTATTTGAGACAGACTGCTAAATGAACATAAAAAAAAAAAAAAGTAAAGCAGTGTATACAAGTATATCTGACTTTCATTAGGAAGTACTTAAAATCAATCAAGAGCAAAAAGCTGAAATATCAATACTCAACAACTGAAACAATGCTACTGAGGCAGATTCTCTTTTACAGTGTGGCTATTTCACATCGCAATGAGTTAAGTATAGATGACATTAATAATCATTTTAAAAGTCTCATTACACTGTCAGAATGGGATAAACAGACCATAAATATGAGAAACAGTAAATATGAGAGATAAGTCCATTATACAGTTTACTACTACCCAAAGACAATTTAAGAACCCTTTTCTAAACTGTATCATCCCATTTGGCATTAACCAGCACTCTCATCAGCAGCCTCAGCAAAGAAGCCAAGAACTGAACAGGCTAAAGAAACTACATCATTTCGCTTCTAGAAGCTGGTGCCTGCTGCTCACTGATGTGGTACTTAAGTAAGTTGAATGTGCAACCCCATCATGGACACAGTGGAAGCAGGAAGACATTATACCACCTTTACGAAAAAGTACACTTTTTGAACATGAAATTCATCCAGAGAAAGAAGAAACCCCCAAATTAACAAGATACCCAAGAAAACAGCTTCTATTCTAAGCTGCATAGGGTTCTGGAATCACACATGATATTGACCATAAAGGGTATACACCACTTCCATTGACCTCAAACCCCAAAAGAAAGCACAAAAAATCTTTACATGATCAGGAACATGGTCTTTATTCCAATATTTTGTTTGCATTTTAAACAGATTACTGCTGAAGAGCTTAACAGCAATCAAAAATTGATATGTGCACTACCCATGTTATTTCGGATCAGGAAGATGAATCAACATTTACAATTAAGGCTATAGTTATCTTTCCAGAAATACCAACTGTAATTTAACAGGAATGAAACAAGAAGTGTCTTATGCAAATGAGTCACAAAAATTTCTGTAATTTTCTATCAGTCTTAATATCTGCAAAACAATTTAGGGGACAGTTGTATTTCTCAGTACAGAATTCTTAAAATTACTATATTAAGCTATAAATTTAAAAATTACTATATA